TATGGAAAAAATCGTCATTGGTTGAATAGCTCTACCAACATCACGTACAAGGAAACATAATATGGTCATCAAGGTACTTGTTCTAAGAGGAAAAGCTCATGAATATGGAGAAGAAGTAGAGAGAAATGTAAGAGAGATACAAAACCCTAAGCGACACTGATTTAGTCGCAATAAAGGCATCATTGGGTCGCTTAGGCGTTCAACAGTAACCACGAGAGCATCGAAACACTTTTCGCCACCGTTGGCTCTGGAAAAGATGTATTCAGAGCTGTGATGAACACAAAACGAAAAAATGAAGAATCTAGATCCAATAGCGATTGTATCCTTCATTTTCAACAGTTTCATAAAGAGCTGCCAATATGTGTATGGAGATGGCCAGTATGTCACAGTCAATGAAATGCTCGTAAGTTTTAGAGGAAGATGTCGATTTAAAATGTATGTGCCCGCAAAACCTTGCAAATAAGCTACCTTTATAACGCATATATATACTCGTATATATATATATATTTTTTTTTTTGAGACGTGGTCATTGTCGTCTAGACCAGTTAGGTGAAAAATTAAAGGTTCCGCCTTTTGTTGGGTACTTGGACAAAATTTAAGCAAGGAGGACTCTTTATACTTTATTAGTCTCTAGCTTTCAATGGACTTTGCAATCTTAATCAGGAGCTGCAATACATTAAGAAAAAGTAGCAACTATTATGCATTGCAGCTCCTGATGATGATGGCAAAGTCCATTGAAAGCTAGAGTCTAATAAAGTATAAAGAGTCCTCATTGCTTGAATTTTGTCGAAGTACCCCACTAAAGGCGGAAGCTTTATATATTTGAAGTTGAGTCATTAATTTTCAGATAATGATTGTAGAAGGAAGATAAACCAAAATATGTGTGTAAAAATAAAAAAAATTAAAAAAAAAATTTACCTTGTTTCATAAAGTATCCTCCCGACAAGTATTTCAGTGCGGACCTGTATTTGATCGTGAGGTCTTGGAGCACCGGCATGCCGTCCATATGTGAGGTCTTATGTCACCTGATTCACGAACCCGTTGTACTACATTAACAAAGGCACGAGGGGTTGGTTGCACTCGATTGGGAAACCGATCCGCATAAACATGTGCCATTTTTTATTTCGTTTGAGCCACGCAACAGATACCACTATTCACTACCGACTGACACTGACTGTATACAACTGAATGAAATAATTGTAAAAACATCGTTCCAAATTCTTTCGCTTTTTTGTTTCCGATGCGATGAACCGATAAGGCGGATTATATCTGTTGTCGCCAAACACGAGCACATAATATTATTATTGAGACAGGGCGGTACTCAAACTTCCAAAGGGCTATAACATTGTTACTTTAATTTTACCAGAAAAATGTTAAAGAAAAAACATTTCTTTTGATCAGGTCTACTCACTGTTAAAATAAATGACTCAACTTCGAAGTCCCCCCCCCTGTATATAACTTGAGACGTGGTCATTGTCGTCTAGACCAGTTAGGTGAAAAATTAAAGCTTCCGCCTTTGGGATGTCGAAATACGCCTAGTTAGCAGGCTAAAGTCTCGTTGGTTATCGGAATTAACCAGGCAAATCGCTCCACCAACTAAGAAAGGCCATGCACCACCACCCATTGTTTTTAAATAATTTTTAATCTGTTTTTAACTTGTTCTTGAAATATTTTATATAATTTTGACCATTGTACCATCTATCCAGCACTCACCATGTTACTGGACGTTTCCCTCATCCTATACGTAAACAACAATTAGCAACATCCTCACATACTACTCTCCTGATGATGATGGCAAAGTCCATTGAAAACTAGAGAGAATTAAAAAAGTATAAAGAGTCCTCTTTGCTTAAATTTTGTCGAAGTACCCAACAAAAGGCGGAAGCTTCAATTTTTCACCTATATATATATATATATATATATATATATATGGCTGGCATACAATGTGGGAATGCAGCTACAAATGTAGTTTTATGCATGATCTGGTAGCAAGCCATTGTTATATCTAAAAGTAGCTAGTATACACGGAAAAAACTATTTTAAATTTATGACTTGTATATAGGACAAAGTGAGGACCGACTGAGCTCCTAACATAACGAGGTCTGTATACTGGAACACTTACAACAAACAAAGTGAGGACCTTTCAGGATATATTCTCACTTAGCGCATACAGAGTGAAGACCGTGCAAGGTTGCCTATGTCAACACAGGTTAGGTGACATAATCCTCACACTTGAGATATCTTCTTGCCATAAACAGTTGAACATACCCAACTCACTAAAAATTAATATAATTCCTTCCACTTTTCCCTTAATTTTAAATAATTTTAAATCTAGGCAACTCGGATATTATGACACTTTTTCATAAAATTGAGAGTTCTGTTTGCAAGTTTGACAGATTGTTAAATATGATTCTGTGAGATGTTTGCTTAACACTCAGCCAAACTGGCTAAAGAATTTAATGTTATTTATATATATATATATATAGATATACTGTAGTTGAGATCCCGATAGATTCAGACTTCCCCAGGAACACAAACGGCATTCTAAACCCACACAATCTGTGAATCCACTATCGTGTCTCATGTTAAAAAGAATAAAGCCACAATACTCGTCTCTTCCATGCACCACAGAAAATATTGTGATCCAGAAACACGGAAACCGGCAACCTATTACAACGCTTGATGAAAAATGTTCGAACATCATAACCACCCTTCATATCAACTTTTAACTAATCTGTTATTCTAAAATAGCAGACCTGTAATTCTAGGAAGGGTTGTTAGTCCGCCTAGTTCATTACCTAAATCGATTTCTGTGTTTTATACCCCGCTCCTCATAAACAGTTAACCCCGCACAGGAAATAGTTAGGCGGTAGGTTAGATAGGAAATTCAAACTTCCGTCTGCTGTATAATTAATGATCATGCAATTACATTGAATTCAGTTTGTTGTATTTTTTTAGACGTCCACATTCGTAAGGATGATATTAGCGGCCACGCCGGTAACACGACTTGATATATAGTATATTAAATGGAATGTCCGTTCAAACAACAGGAGTATAATTAATGGTCCAAGCTTTGCTCCCTTTTTGTTTTGAATATCAATTACACATACGTATCTGCCGGCTACTGTGACATGTGCTGAACGTAGGTATGCAAGTTAAGAAGAAACGTAAAAAGTGTGTATCCTACAGATGGTTTAAGAAAATGTATACACAAATGTATTATTTAGACTAACCACATATTTTCTGTATATTGGGCGTAACTTAAATACTCGTTATGTCTATTGTGGGATCTTATAATAAATAGCCAACGTCTCTGATGCATCAAAGCTCCCGCGAGACTTCATTAATATCCTAGAAAGTGTCTTTTCAACAACTTTTGAAATACGTACATCATATAATAAATCAAAATTTTGATAGCCGTCTTATTTTACTGTGCCTGAAAACTGGGGTAAGCGAAGTGAAAGAAACTGTTAAACGGACATTAAAGGTTCGAAAATACATCTGAAAATTACCCAATTACCTTCGCAGCGTTGCCTTGCGAGCGCGAACTCGGCTCAGAGCGGAGGAATTGCGAGCAGAAAAAGCCGATTGTCCCGGCTTGTATCTTTATTTACCGAGGCATTTAACAATTAGTTTATTTGCGGCGTTCAAAGAGAGGCGCTGTCGGAAAACGCATAAAAACCGCATGTGGCTTTAATCAGTTTTAATGTCCTGCTATTATTTCGTTTTTGCTGGATGTGAGAGCCGTCGGCCGACGGGCGGCAAGGGCACCGACGCTCAAATAAAATTTATTGGGAGAGCTTAACGAGTCCGCCATAAAAAGCGCAGCTTCGATCTCCTTCCTCCCTTCTTTCCTTTCGCGCCATCGCTGCCGAGTCGCTTAAGGTCACCTTTTCGGGTATCTTCAGGAGATACATGTATCAGGTATTCTCCAAGACGATGCCAAACCCTATGCTGTATTTGGACGCCCACATACAATCTCCATCGTCGCAGCCGGGCTGATAAGTAAGATCGCGTCCTTATATATATATATATATATAACTTGAGACGTGGTCATTGTCGTCTAGACCAGTTAGGTGAAAAATTAAAGCTTCCGCCTTTTGTTGGGTACTTCGACAAAATTTAAGCAAAGAGGACTCTTTATACTTTTTTTATTCTCTCTAGCTTTCAATGGACTTTGCCATCATCATCAGGAGCTGTAATTACATTGATAACAGTAACAATAGTGTATTTAAATTCATTTTACACTATTGTTGCTACTGTTATCAATGTAATTGCAGCTCCTGATGATGATGGCAAAGTCCATTGAAAGCTAGAGAGAATAAAAAAAGTATAAAGAGTCCTCTTTGCTTAAATTTTGTCGAAGTACCCAACAAAAGGTGGAAGCTCTAATTTTTCACATATATATATTGCCTTAACTGCTAGAAAATATTCTTGAATTTATTTGGGCAGAATGCAAAGTATTGCATAAGCACACTCTTATAACTTAAACTCGAGCTTTTGAAGGTCTATGCCCTCATCGTCTGGAGCTGGAAACAATTTCTGAAGAATAGCAACAATAAACAATTATGAGGAAGAACTATATAATTACTACTAAGTGAACACATAGTCGACGAATAAAAAACTGGTTCAGTCGACTAAACATTGATGACAGTATTCTTGACGCGTGTCCATCTTCATGGCCACATAACGATTCATTACAACACGCGTGAGTGAGGATCACAACAAAGTGAGGTCCGTATACGACCTCAGACCCTATGTATCGGGCTCCTTAACCTGTAATCATTAAGAAAACGTGTGAAAAAAAGATGGTCCTCAGTTTGTACCTGGCACGTTACAATATGAGTTAACCTACTTGACGTCATTTCAACGTTGCATGGTGCAGTTTTTCACGAGTAGACCACATTTCACAGATGCTCACGAAATGTATCCTAACTCGCTGAATATCGTGATTCCTGAACGAGTCACCCTACTTGACGTCATTTTGTTATTGCACGTTGGAGTGTTTCAACTCTCCTAGATGATTCGAATTTCGCAGACGCTCACGAATTGTATCTTATCTGGTAACTATTAAAACTACTGAAATGGTCAACAACTACCTCTCTCTATTGCCGTCATCATAGTTACATATCAAACAAAGTGAACTTTGAGAAAGACCAGTTGACATAGGCAACCTTGTACGGTCCTCACTCTGTATGCGCTAAGTGAGAATATATCCGGATGGGTCCTCACTTTGTTTACTGTAACTGTTTCGATATACGGACCCCGTTGTGTTAGGCGATCGGTCTTCACTTTGTCCGATATACAAGTCATACATTTATAATAGTTTTTTCCGCGTATACTCGCTACTTTTAGATATGACAATGACGTGCTACCAGATGATGTCTGAAACCACATTTGTAGCTGCATTTCTTCTGGCGGTCTTCACTTTGTATAGTATACAGACGGTCCTTAAATTGTATACCAGCCAAATATACATATATATATATATATATATATTACTCATAATTAATTGCCTTAACTGCTAGAAAATATTCTTGAATTTATTTGGGCAGAATGCAAAGTATTGCATAAGCACACTCTTATAACTTAAACTCGAGCTTTCGAAGGTCTATGTCCTCATCGTCTGGAGCTGGAAACAATTTCTGAAGAATAGCAACAATAAACAATTATGAGGAAAAACTGTATAATTACTACTAAGTGAACACATAGTCGACGAATAAAAAACTGGTTTGATGAGGTTCGATTAGGACAGAATTATTTTATATCATAGCTATGTTTTTTAAAATCTTTAAAAATTATTTTTCATTTAACACAGATTGATTTGGAGGAACTTGAAAAACTATCAACTATTGAATCTCGAAGGATTTTTCTGGGTGTTTTATATGTATATATTTGAAAAGTCGACGCCTTTTGTTGGGTACTTCGACAAAATTTAAACAAAGAGGACTCTTTATACTTTTTTTATTCTCTCTAGCTTCAATGGACTTTGCCATCATCATCAGGAGCTGCAATTACATTGATAACAGTAGCAACAATAGTGTATTTAAATTTTACACTATTGTTGCTACTGTTATCAATGTAATTGCAGCTCCTGATGATGTTGGCAAAGTCCATTGAAAGCTAGAGAGAATAAAAAAAGTATAAAGAGTCCTCTTTGCTTAAATTTTGTCGAAGTACCCAACAAAAGGCGGAAGCTTTAATTTTTCACATATATATATATATATATATATATATATATATATATATATATATTGCATAAGCACACTCTTATAACTTATAACTTAAACTCGAGCTTTCGAAGGTCTATGCCCTCATCGTCTGGAGCTGGAAACTATTTCTGAAGAATAGCAACAATAAACAATTATGAGGAAAAACTATATAATAACTACTAAGTGAACACATAGTCGACGAATAAAAAACTGGTTTGATGAGGTTCGATTAGGACAGAATTATTTTATATCATAGCTATGTTTTTTAAAATCTTTAAAAATTATTTTTCATTTAACACAGATTGATTTGGAGGAACTTGAAAAACTATCAACTATTGAATCTCGAAGGGTTTTTCTGGGTGTTTTATATGTATATATTTGAAAAGCCTTATGGAAAAAATTCTATTAACATCAATGACATCAACCGTTTTGGATGAAAATACACTTATGTCAATCATGCTCTTGTCAACGTTAGCTTCCTGATTTGAAGTCTTCAAAACCGAGGATATGTTCAGATCGCTTGAAAATTGACGCTTCCTACCTTAGAAGCTTTGCCAGCGTTTTGTTAATCACCCTGTATATGATATATGAATCGACACAGGTGTAGGATATTTAGCATAATAGAAACATGTCCGCCGTTATAACGAACGCACGTTCAAATTCGTGCGGACGTTTGGCAAATTGTTTCCCATCGAAATTGTTCGAAATATGCGGGCAGTAGACATATGCAACAAGTTCAATATAATTAGTCGACGTGGATACTTAAGCGCAAAAGCGCATAATCTATTTAGCGCCGTAATTACCTTACATTTTACAAATTACGACCGTTAATATGTACGGACGGTTATGTCGCTTAGCGACGTTGTACGTAAATTAATCGAAAATGTTACAGTGATGCCTAGTAATGCTTAATCATTATCGATTCACAAAAAAAATTAAATTAATTAGAATGTTTACTTATCTGGCCAATCAAACCATATGTGTTTTTTAGATCACAACGACACACAGACCGATAAACCGACAAACAGACCGACGGAAATGAGAGACATGATTTTTCGTGAAAAACGTTTCATATGACACAAAAATTGGTCATATTTGAATTTTAACAAACTTCCTTGCCAGTGACCAGTAAAAAAGACGTAGCACCTGGTGAAAGCAGTGGAAAAAATCTGGCGAGCTGTATACGTATTCAAAACGTTTTTTCAAGCAAATTTTTCCATACACATGCGCTAATTGTTAAAATAAGCGATTCTGGCAATAGATGGCACCTTACACTGTCTTGTTTCGACAGATCTTATGCCTCAGATAGAGGATAGTTGCTTGTCCTGACCTGAGGCCAAGCCTAGACGATGCTAACGAGTTGCCAAAACGCACGAAACATCTGTCCATGGTTGACTGTGTTCATCCTAACTCGCTGAATATCGCGATTCCTGAACGAGTCAACCTACTTGACGTCATTTTGTTATTGCACGTTGGGGTGTTTCACTCTCCTAGATGATTCGAATTTCGCAGACGCTCACGAATTGTATCTTATCTGGCAACTATTAAAACTACTGAAATGGTTAACAACTATCTCTCTCTATTGGCGTCATCACAGTTACATATCAAACAGAGTGAACTTTGAGAAAAACCAGTTGACATAGGCAACCTTGTACGGTCGTCACTCTGTATGCGCTAAGTGAGAATATATCCGGAAAGGTCCTCACTTTGTTTACTGTAAGTGTTTCAATACACGGACCCTGTTGTGGTAGGCGTTCGGTCGGTCTTCACTTTGTCCGATATACAAGTCATAAATTTTTTTCCGCGTATACTCGCTACTTTTAGATATGACAATGACGTGCTACCAGATCATGTCTAAAACCACATTTGTAGCTGCATTTCTTCTGGCGGTCTTCACTTTGTAGGGTATACAGACGGGCCTTACATTGTATACCAGCCAAATATATATATATATATATATATAACTTGAGACGTGGTCATTGTCGTTTAAACCAGTTAGGTGAAAAATTAAAGCTTCCGCCTTTTGTTGGGTACTTCGACAAAATTTAAGCAAAGAGGACTCTTTATACTTTTTTAATTCTCTCTAGCTTTCAATGGACTTTGCCATCATCATCAGGAGCTGCAATTACAATGATAACAGTAGCAACAAAAGTGTAAAATGAATTTAAATTGAATCAACTTACAGTAGTATGTGAGGATGTTGCTAATTGTTGTTTTCGTATAGGATGAGGGAAACGTCCAGTAACATGGTGAGAGCTGGATACATGGCACAATGGTTAAAATTATATAAAATATGACAAGACAAGTTAAAGACAGATTAAAAATTATTTAGAAAACATTAGAGCATTACGTCGTGAAGCCACTTATATATACATTTTAAGACAAACAACTTTTCCTATCAATCATTTACACGAGTCTACCAAACAAACACGCCAAGTAAATCTGCCTACAAAATCGTGTAGTTCGCAATTACTTGGTACGATTTAGTTTGATTAATTTAAGCGCGAATAACCAACGCAAGAATGTAACAACTATTCATAAATTAAGAGCAAAGACCAATTATTGCAAAATGCATAAACAGCAATAAATGCCGCATCGTGTACAAACATTAATTATTGTAAAGCAATCACGGTTCGGTGTTTATTTTTGCTATAAGTTTTGTTTAAACGTGTAGATATTTCAGCTAGTAGACGTGGTACAGTTTATCAAGATCTTGAACACGCATAATTATCTAGAGAATAATTTCTTTGAGGATGGTGACAATAATACAAGGTCCTTGGTCGTCGTACTGAATGTTCGTTCACGGAGCGTTGATATGTTAATTAGATCTACTCCATCTACCAAGTAGTTTGGCGTCGACGACGTTGAAATAGTGACATATTTTAGTCAGCCTAAACGTCAAAACGGTCTATGTATACACTTATTTTCTACCAGAAAATGCATAATAGTGAATCTGTAATTATTGCCAAAAGTTAAAGCATTTGTGGTCAACATCTGAAAAAACGATTTAATGCCGCAAAAAAACTATTCAATACTTAAAAGCTCAGTTAAAAACTGAGTATAATTTGTGAGGTCACCAAGTATATAAAGTTAATACCTTATTTGAGTGAGAGCGTTTTAAGATTAGTTTATTTAAAGTTCCATCCCATTTCCTCCTTTATTTTGCAACCAGGCACTTGTCATTGTGAATCGGTTGCTAAGCAGTATCTCCGCATCCGCTTAGGAAAATATTTGATTGTTTTTCTGAATAATCTAATATTTTTCATAGCATAGGTTGAATATGTGACTGCATCCAAATGGCAACTCTGTACCTACGTAGAGCTTCTCTCCTGCCGCACCGTTAAAATCACCACGCTCGAGGCGGCATCAGCAACAATCCAACTCAGCCGGATATATCCTCGTGTAATTTCTATCCGAGAAACAAATAAGTGATTAAACCTTGCGGGATATGATAAATTCAATTACCCAAATCCACTTACACAATTACCGATATGGAGATGATTAATTTCAAGCCATCAGGATTGCTTTCCGTTGGAAATTCCACAGATATGCCGCCTGCGGGCGCTAGAAGAAAAGTTCATTCTCTCTTCGGTATACTTGTGTATACGTACTGTGGTTGTTGCTTTATTGATTAAATAAGTTATCGTTATGATGTAACAGTATTTTTAGCGCTAGGAAATCGGTGTTATTAATTTCGTTTCTTGGACGAGAAGCAATATGGGTATTTCTGTCTTTAAGCAAGTCACCATTGTATGAATAAAATATATATTATATATATATATATATAATTCGAAGTTGAGTCATTTATTTTAACAGTGAGTAGATCTGAACAAAAGAAATGTTTTTTCCTTTACCATTTTACTGGTAAAATTAAAGTAACAAAGTTATAGCCCTTTGGAAGTTTGAGTACCGCCCTGTCTCAATAATAACATTATGTGCTCGTGTTTGGCAACAACGGATATAATCCGCCTTATCGGTTCATCGCTTCGGAAACAAAAAAGCGAAAGAATTTGGAACGATGTTTTTACAATTATTTTATTCAGTTGTATACAGTCAGTGTCAGTCGGTAACGCGTGAGTGAATAGTGGTGTCTGTTGCGTGGCTCAAACGAAATA